TCAAATAACACAAACACAATCTTTCACATACTAAATTCATCAGATCCAAGTAAAATATAATTCTTACATTTTCAAACTCTTCATATATGTCTATATCTTGATGTATTTGTTCTAATGGCGTTTCTTCTATTGTTGTGTTTGACTTTAGTTAAAGATAATAAATATTGAAAATATAAAATAATGAATATTACTATCTGGTGAATGAATTTTGTTGCATGTTTGTTAGTGCACATAAATACCCATTTTTATCTTTCTTTGCTTTCGTCCTTAAATAGCATTTTAGAATGAGCACTCAATCGTCACAAAAGATTATACTGCATCCATGGAGGCTAAAATATAACATCTCGAAGGCCATAAAATATAACTGAACTAAACTGAAAGATCACACAATATCTAGAATGGCCAAACTATTGAAGATGACAAAGCACTCAAAAGTCTCATTATGTGGTGTACAAATTTACTTTTAATGATCTAACTCATTTTTTAATATGTTTCGATTTCTTAAATATGCCATTTTAAAATCATTAAATCATTGTACAATGGCCAATAATCATAAAATGACCATCAATTTCTTTATTTACTTGCAAGAGTTATGTAAGTCGTTTGTTGATTAGCTGTCATTACATGCAAATATGTTAAAAGTTGAGTACGTGTTTGGCTTTTATTATGATTTATTGCAATTGTACGATATTTTGCCGATTTTAAAAAGACTTGTATACCATAGAATGAGACTTCATATGCTATGTGACTCCGAGTTTCGCTATTTTGAATGTTGTGTGAACTTTCGGTTCAAGTCAAGATGTGTGATCTTCAAGATAGATTATAATGATTTTATCCTCCTTGAATGTTGTTTGATCATCCGAGTTATTTATGATATGAATAGAGGGCTTGATGTACCAATATATTTAAGGACGTGCCCAAAAATGATAAAATGGACATTTATATGCAAGCACACATGCAACAATATTTATTCACAACATTTCCGAAAAATGTACAAATTGTACTTTGAGATCATTTAAAAGAAGTGAGCGGTGTCTGCACGAGGGATAAAGTATCATATAGTAGAAGCTGATGTTCGTTAAGAAGTGCAAACTGCAAGTGTACGAGTTGCGTTCAAGTAATAAAGTTGATTTTTTTATTACGAGTTGTCGATCCCTCGATAAATGTATACTTTTAATTATACGACTTTAATTAATTTAATTCTAATAATAAAAAAATACATAATAAATATTTTGATTTGAAAAAGTGATAGATGTATAAAAATCTATAAAATAAGAAACATAAAAATCTTGAGAATTTCGGAAAAAAACTAGGTTGAGATTCATGGTTTCGTTTAACCATCACCTAATTAATTTCCTCGCAGGTTAATTAACAAATTACTCATTTATGATGTTAGACCTCATTTTTCAAATTTAGTTAATTACTTCTCTCGAACGAAATTAACTTTAATCTATTTATTTAGCATATTATATCTCTATATCGATTAAAATCAAATAATCGTATTAAATCGTTGTGAAAATAGCTCAATAGATCATCTAGGGTTATGGATTTATCTCTATCCCCTACACAAACCTATGATTTCTACTATTTGATCTAAAATACACAATTTTCTATCGAATGGTGTACAAATCACTAAACATAATCATTCATTGACCATATAAATGAAAAAAACAATATTTATTCACAACATTTCCGAAAAATGTACAAATTGTACTTTGAGATCATTTAAAAGAAGTGAGCGGTGTCTGCACGAGGGATAAAGTATCATATAGTAGAAGCTGATGTTCGTTAAGAAGTGCAAACCGTAAGTGTACGAGTTGCGTTCAAATAATAAAGTTGATTTTTTTATTACGAGTTGTCGATCTCTCGATAAATGTATACTTTTAATTATACGACTTTAATTAATTTAATTCTAATAATAAAAAAATACATAATAAATATTTTGATTTGAAAAAGTGATAGATGTATAAAAATCTACAAAATAAGAAACATAAAAATCTTGAGAATTTCGGAAAAAAACTTGGTTGAGATTCATGGTTTCATTTAACCATCACCGAATTAATTTCCTCACAAGTCAATTAACAAATTAATCATTTACGATGTTAGACCCCATTTTTCAAATTTAGTTAATTACTTCTCTCGAACGAAATTAACTATAATCTATTTATTTAGCATATTATATCTCTATATCGATTAAAATCAAACAATCGTATTAAATCGTTGTGAAAATAGCTCAATGGATCATCTAGGGTTATGGATATATCTCTATCCCTACACAAACCTATGATTTCTACTATTTGGTCTAAAATACACAATTTTCTCTCGAATTGTGTACAAATCACTAAACATAATCATTCATTGGCCATATAAATGAAAATATAATAATAACAATAGTAGAAACACATTAAATTAAGTAACTTAACATTAAAGAACAAATATTAAAATTAATTAAGACTATGTTAAATTTCAAAGATAAATCCCGACACAAATATCTAGCCCATGTTAAACAATTGATAAAAAGGATAAGATTTATAACAATACATTTCAATCAGAGAACTAATGGATGAAACACAAGATTAAGGATAAAACCTTTTTTTTATTAGGTTCTTGAAGGTTTGATGTTGATTTTTCAAAGTTCCTCCACTTCCTTTTGATTTTATCACCTTCTCGTGCTCTAATTCTCCAAAAAATACCAAGAAAATAAAGAAGAGAAGAAGAGAAAAGGAAGAAAGAAAAATGAAGGGAAAAAAAGAAGAAAAGAAACTGAAAACAAGAAGCCTGAAATCCCCATTTTGTAGCCAAAAATAAGAATTTGGTTCATTTTGTAGCCAGTCCCCTAGATAATTGCACAAAAATTCCTTCAACTTTTATCTTGTATAATTTGGTCCTCAAAATTTGACTTTTCTTTCAATTATGCCCTCAAATTGTATCTAAGGTCCTTAAACTTTCTGCACTTATGCATTTTGGCCCCCAACATCACAATTTTGTACACTTTTTGTCCCATTTTACTTCATTTTGCTTTGCTCTATTTTCTTTTGGGTTTTGACCTACAAAGGCCATAATTACATAATTATGTGTAGAAATCCGTTGCCTTAATCAATATTTAAGCTTATTTAGATATTAAACAAGTATGCAAAAAGCACTTACCAACATCCCCAAACTTAAGCTCTTGCTCGTCCTAAGCAAGATTATTTACAACACAACACGTGGTAATGATCAACACAATAGATAGCTTGCCAAAAATATCGAAGAGTGTAAAATTGTATAATCAATTCACAAAATACTCCAAATAATACTAGCAAAAATAATTTAAACTTGTCCAATGTTCGATCAATGTATGTGTGTACAGTCACTTTCAAACATCATTTAAATTAGGAAAACGTTGTCAAGACAGAAATTTTTTTAAAATTGGCTCCAACCAGACCCTTTGTGGTCAAATATTTTATTTCAGACTCGTGATATTTACACTACTCAAATAAATATTTATTTTCTTTCTTCGAGTGTAAATCTAAATGTTGCTTTCAATTCACTCATTTTTTGGCTCTAGTTCAGTTGAGTTTAATTGACAATATGAATCTCTAGTCATGTGATGATTCTTCATTAGAAGAGTGCTTCGACATTTAAGCTTATACTAAGTAATTCAAGCTCATTAGTTATTTAACCCTAAACATCAAATACAATTACATCAAAGCTCATGGTTGACCTCACTACCTAAAGCTCTCTTCTTGACCATTGTAGCGAGTTTTAGGTCGACAACTCCTCGATTATTTTAGACCAAAGGGTACATGGTTTTGAGATATCCCTACGAACTTAATAATCGAGTAAAAAAGGCTAAAAAATGAGGCAAGAATAAACAAGTGCAATATTCCTTTTTAGCATGACAAAATAAATAGGGTTTAGATCTCTAGCATATGATCATTATCTAGTTTATACTTAACATTTAACAAAAGACATTCCACACAAATTTTTTTCAACACGCATGAAATCAATACACTTCTAGATAATATCCTTTACCGACTCGACATTTCCAAACTTATCTCGCAATATAGTAAAGTAAATGAAAAGTGAATATAAGATTGATAGAAATTTATGCACAACTTATAACCTAATTCTTACCAATTCAGAAATTTCTCTATCAATAAAAAAATTTCACTTTTAGATAATAATTAATCATGACTATTGTACTCAAAGTAACTCGAGATCTTACAATGTATAAGGAATTTTGGCACAAATAGCATATTTGGTTATATCTTATGAATTAACAGCAATTTTAAACATCAAACAATCCTAAGTCGGCAAGGTTATCTAATATGTCAACATAAAATCACAACAATTTAAGCACAATCACCCCTCAAGCTTAAATCACACATCGTCCTCAATGTATAAAGAACAAGATAAAAGAGAAGAAGGGATAAAGAAACTTCCCCGATTGGACATTTGTGATGGGGTACCATGCTCGATTTGGACTTGTCATGCTCTTGAATGGCTCATTTTTAATTCACCCCAAACTTGTGATCAAGTCTCAACTTGATTTCAAATCATTTTCTTCAATAAGCATCCTATGAAATAACTTGTGGTGTCCTACAAAATCACAAGAAATGAGTAAATTTAAACGGGTCAAAGTCAAAGTAGGTAAGTATGATCGAAATAGTCAAAATGAACATTCAACATGTTGAGAACCATAATAAATATAAGACTTCAAAAAGTTATATAACTACAAAAATTATTTTCTAATTACAAAAAAGAAAAATAAAAAGATTACAAAGTTGGGTTGCCTCCCAACAAAAGTTTTTTTTATAGTCTTTAACTCAATTTTTGGCAATTAACCTATGGGCATCTAAAAAAGGTTTTGGATGCTTTGTCCATTTTCCTTCGCCTAGTTTTATTCCACTCTTTATTTGATCTTCGAAACTCAATATTGTCCATTTCCATATAATATGACTTGTCTAGTCCATCCAGTTTTACTTCAACTGCATAGACTTTCACCACGTCATTGGACTTAATCACAAACTCAATTTCCTGGCAATCAATGAAGAAGAATGTACATTACTTTCATTCTCATTGTTTGCTACATTTTCGTGTGGTTCATTTGTGATTGATATGTCATTCTCTTTGAACTCTTCATCAGTAGTGGATGTCTCATTAGATTGAATGAGCGGTCCACAATCGAGCTCTATGGACAATGCCAACTCTTTCATTTTAACTCCGTCGAGTGGAATATACCCCCACTTTTGAAATCCATCCCAATATTCGTAATCTCCCACAAGCATGTCATCTACATACAACTTGATAAGTTCATGGTAATACTTTGCAAGTACCTTCTCATTCAAAAATGGAGGACCATTCCCCTAAAACTTGATTTCCTCGTCCCTATCGTCAGGTAAATAATCCTATCATCGAAGTTGCTAGTGATTGTTTTCTACATTTCAAATATTGCCTAAATCAAAGAAGTTTCGACATTGACGTACCGGTGCATGAATACAAACATTGTTATGTACAATGTATCGTTTGACAAATTTCACAATTTGGACCTCCAAGCATATATCCACAATCAATGTAAAGATTAGACATTGCAAAAACTTTGTTACTTTAACAAGATTGGAATAATACAATTATAGCTTAAAAGTACAAGGAGAGAATATCAATACAAAATAGATTAAGAATATGGGGGTTAGCCAAAATATACAAAAATAAGAGCAATTAAAAATAAATAAACAGAAATTGTTAAAACTAAAATTAAATAAAGTAGTAATAAAAGTAAAAACATTCATCGACAATGACGCTAAAATTGTGTTTCCTAAGAAGTTTAACCGTAAGTGCACGGGTTACGTTCAAATAATAAAGTAGACCTTTTGAATTCGAATTATCGATTCTTCGAAAAATGTATACTTTTAATTACACAACTTTAATCAATTTGATTCTAACAATAATAATAAAAAAAACACACACACAACAAAGATTTTGATTTGAAAATGTGAAAGATGACTAAAAATTTACAAAATAAGAAAACAGAGAAGTCAAAAAAAGTATATTAATTAGCAAGGCAATCTCGACATTAATCTCAACGTTTGCATTTGAACTCTAGATGATAGGTCACTTCTTTTGCTTTCTATGTCCTTTTTCGTAGTTAACCCTTTTATTATTTTCAAAATGCATACCTTACTCACGAGCATACCTGAACTGAAATAGAAAGAAGTTAAATAACACCTAGTTCATTAACCATGTAGTTACAAAGTACAAACGATTTGTAATTTCATTACATCAACACTAAATAATTAGGATTTGAGTGCATTATATCTACGAGATGTACATCCACATCAAAAGTCAACAAAATGTGCATGGAAAACCATGTCGTCTTGAAATTAACGAAAGGAACCACGATATGGTCATAAAAAACAAAAGAAGTGACCTATCATCTAGAGTCCTAACTTAAGCAAAATTGAAACTAGTATCCGTGTACTTGTACGACATGTCACGTTCATTGTAACACTGTGTGTACTTGGTCGCCTTCTCAAACATGTAAAACTCAAGGTGATTTGAATAATAAGACCATATGTCAAATTCCACACTAAATGATACTCTCTTCTACATGTTAACACCGTCCACTTCTTTCATACAATCTTAAACTACAACTTGTTCATCTCTTGTAAAATAATAAATATTGCTACCCAACAAATAAATTTATGTTCATGCATGCTAATGCACATAAATGTCCATTTTATCTTTCTTTGAACATGTCTTTAAATAGTATTGGTGCACCAAGCACTCAAATCGTCATAAAAATCCCGGAAATCACATGGCATCGGGGACGCTAAATCAATCTGAACGGCCAAACACATCCGAAAGTTGGAAAATGTACTGTATTAAATCGAAAGATCGCACATCATCCAAAATGGTCAAATTATCGAAAGATCACATAACACCCGAAGCCTCATTCTGTACTGTACAAATCTATTTGAAGTAACTAACTCATTTTCACTTATGTTGCCATTCTAAATCTGAAAATCA